GGGACAACGTGCCCAGCGAAAACATTATGAATGTGTCTTGCGGCATCCGTTTGCATGGAAACTGCGGCTGTAGCCTTTCTTCCCTTCAGCCGATGATACTCCACCCCAGCCCCGTGGCCACAGTGGCCTCACTATTGCCCTACAAATGCCCACGCTGTGGCTTGGCCAGCTCCCTTTCCTCCACCCGATGGTCAACCCTTTCATCTATGCCATGTCAGGGACTGGCTCACTTTCCAGAACCCGTTTTTTCACTCTCCCAGTTGGAGGAAAGCTCATAGGGTTACAGACTACTGGGGGAGGTCAATGATTTTAAAGATAGGAATCGCCAGGTCCTCATTTATAACTGACTTTGATTTCAGATCCCTCTGTTTCTTTCTCCTGGCACAGCACTTTTTAAAACTGCCTGATCTTAACTAGAGATTTCTCAAGAAATTTACAACGACCGAGATAACATCCCATTAACTGTCTAATCCTTGAAATATTTAATACACTGAGCAGGGAGGCAGTTGATTTAAATGGAAAGAAATGAACTCTAACACACCATGGATTTAGTCTTCATGGGTTAGAGACATCTGTTTGAAAAAGACAAAAATATTAAGAAAGAGTAAATGTTGCTTAGAAAGTAGCTGATAAACCCCCTTTAAAACAAAAAGCATTTCAAATGACACCTACTCAAGGTAAAAATAATGGGTGTGTTAAGGTTTCTAAATTACTTGAAAGCTGCATTTCCACTGTGTCCTTCCAACTGTTCCATGTATGTCTGAAATAAAGAAGGTTGTGGGGTAACTACTGCTGCTACGCACTGGAACAAATGTTATTTATAATCCAGGCCCTTTGGCTCCCATTTCAGTCGGACTCTCACCACCCCTTACCATCTCCAGTACTGGGCAACAATTCATTTCTGATATATCTGGGCAACAAGAAAGTCTACGGTGTTATCTGCTGAGAGCTTCTCCTACCAAGTCCTTGCTAATCAAAGTCTGGTCCATACACCAGCCATAACATCATCTGGGAACATTTTTGGAAATGTAAAAAAGTGTGAAAATTCAGACCCATCCCAAAATGTACTTTTTAGCAAGATGTCTAAATTTTTGGTATGCCCATTGAATTCAAGAACAGTTGGTGCCAATACAAAAATTTAGTTTTTAGGTTGGGTGCTCTTTGTGTCTAAAATGAGTGAGTAACCTGAGGAGCAAAGAGAAACAGGATATCCTAAGTAAATTCTGCTTGCAACAAAAAAAAAATACTAAAAATGACATATGTAAGATCTGGCAGTGAATGAAGCAGTATACAATAAGATTTTAAATTAATATATAATATTAAAGCAAATAGTGCATTTTAACATTATTCAAATTCTTCCATAACTTACATTTACTAAATTGTGTCCTTCATAGTTCTTGTACTTTACAAAAACACTTTTTATATTGTCACTACATAAAAATGTATAAATTTCAAACAAATTTTGATGAAAAATTTAGGAACTTTCTTTCACCTAAATGTAATAACAATTATTTTTCATTTAGAAAAAAAAAAACCCTACCTTCTCCACTTTATCCTATTTGTAACAATTTCTGGTTGTCTCTTAAATTTTATTATTACTGTTCCATTATTTTGAAGAGAAAAAATTAACATTTTTTAAAAAAAGAATAGCCCATTTCCACTTGTTTTTATCGACCCCAGTACCTTCCCCTCCTGAAGAGCTACTTGTGAGTCAAGGCATCTCTTCTGGTGGCCTTGCAGGCACGAGGTCAGGAAAGTCTGAAAAGTGTGGTGTTGAGGAGTAAGATATCCGATTCATATAAACCTGCCTCTGCTCTCAGGAGAGCAGGAGTGCAGAACTCAGATCCAGGAGCTCTAAGAGAGGAACTAACACAGAGCCCCAGAGGAATTGCTCTTTTAAACTCTCTTTCCTGGGGGTAATTGAAATATTCTTTGAATTTTTAATGTCCCAGGTAGTTTTCAGTTTGTTTTTCCAAAAGAAGGACAGTGATGTATAGTGACTTCATTGTCACTTGGGTTTCACTCTAGCAAGGTAAGGTACTGAAATATCTCTATATTAAAAGTACAGAGACATATGTCGCCTAAATTAAATGTTGGCTGATATCTAAAGGAGGAACAATTGTCTGAATTACAAGAAATTTCTGTTTGCATTTTGGTTCCCAAATGCAATGAAAACCTTTTGTGGTGAGAGGAAAGCATTTCTTTTGTGCTTCAGTGATTTGTACTAGTTTGACCAAAATCCTTAGTTAAAAAAACCCAAGGGTCACAAATCTTGAAAATACCAGTTCAGTACATGACACTGAGTGAGAAGTCGTGGGAGCTTGTTCCTAGTCCCGCATCTATAGTTAGTGGTGTAACCGGGACAAAGCACTGATGTACCCAGATGCATTTCTATCTTCTCTACCTTCCTATAAAACTTTGGGTGTGGAGAGGAGACATTACTAACTCTGGGAAGTGAAAGCAAGATGAAGGACGGAAGGCCGACAGTTCACAGGAGGCTGCGTCACTCTTTCACCAACAACCACGGCAGGGTGGCAGCACCGTGGAACTATAGAGGGCCGTGAAATGGTAGGGGTGGTGGGCAGAGCTTTACAGAGGAGCTAGGGGGATGGTGTTTTCAAGTCCAGTAGGATGCTACTGCAAAGAGAAATAGTGTAAGAAGATTGATGATCTACACATAAAACTGCCAAATTGTTATTTCATCTGTAAGCACCAGCATAAGTAATAACCACCATCACAAATATCATTATTCATTTAAAAGGACAGTCATAAACATCTTCCCCCAAAAAGTCAACAGGCAACCTTATACCACGCTATATCGTTTTATTTTCTAAACTCATATAGTAATGAATTGAGAGATAAATTTGATAAACATTAATTCAAAATAATTCTACTTCACAATAAGGTGAAAATCTGTTTTTTTTAAGATTTTATTTATTTATGTTTAGAGGGGAAGGGAAGGAGAGTGGGAGAGAAACATAAATGTATGGTTGCCTCTGGTGTGTCCCCTGCTGGGAACTGGCCTGCAACCCAGGCATGTGCCCTGACTGGGAATCAATTGCAATCCTGTGGTTCGCAGGCCCGCGCTCAATCCACTGAGCTACACCAGCCAGGGCTGAAAATCTGTTTTACTCATTTCTTAGCAATTGATGTTTTAAAATAAAAACAGGGAGTCTTTATGTGTGTGCATTTTTAAATAGCAAAACAGAATCACTTCATTAGGAAGAATTACAAAAAAAACAACTCAGTGGTATCCAACACGGCACATTAGGTCTCATAAAACCACCTGCCTTTAGTGTCTCTGTTCTTGAAAAAATCTCTTTTCACACTTATTTCGTACTTGTAGTCTCTTTCACCGTTTCAAAGAAGCTGCACAATTCTACCTCTGCCCTACAGGCTGTGGGGAAGAACCAAGCCATCAGCGGGACAGCAGGGATGGTGGGCAGTAGGAGGCCCAGACGGTATGTGGGCCTGTCTTTGGGCAGCTACAGAAGGTTAGCACTCAAGCTGCCAGCTGAGTGGCCACTGTTCAACTGTGTGATCTGTGCCATGGACTAAGGTCAGAGTGAACTTGTGGGCAATTATGTAAATTTCTCCACAAAAAAATTGTAAACTTGTTCATTGAAATATTATACATGAGGAAATTAAACAAAAAATATTTCAGTGAAACGGTTTACTTATATACGAAAAACACATATACAAAACAGGTACATATGTATAAATAAAATTAAAAAGCTATAAGGCAATACTTCTCCTCAATGCAAGTGATATATTTGAGATGACCTATTTTCTTCTATTGTAGTTTGCTTTTCAATAAAAATGTGATTTGCAGCCAATGGTCGGAACCACTCATGCCCACTTGCAAGAATAGGTTGAGTTTTTTAAATTTTTGAGAGGCAGGTGACATTACATGCATAGTTAGAAATTAGCTAATTGAAGATTATTTATAATATACACCAAGAACATTATTAAAATTTACAAATCAGGACTTCTCTTTTTTCAGAAGCAGGTGTCAGATATTTACCAGCACACCAATGCTTGGTGACCACTAAACCAATTTCACAAATTACAGTGGGTCTCAACTTACAGTTAAACAGACACTGAGTAACAAATACCACATACTTTCCAGTACCCAGAGACCTCCTCACCAGAGGAATATTAGTTTTCTTCTTTGTTTACTTCGGTCATTTTTCTATTATTCAAACATGTGTATATATATTAAGCAAAAAGGAATGATGGATTCAAAATACAACTTGTTGGACTATATATTTCACGTTTATTAAAAATCAGGATACCAATTAGCAATACAAAAAGCGGATGAGCCTAAGGAAGAAAGGAAGGCACTGAATAGAATTTGCATCTAATAAAATAGAAATTGCTGTGATTAAGATGAGACCTGAATGAACACTTTGGTTGACTCTGGCTTCAGTTACCCAGTTTCCATTTCTCTTCCATTTAAAAAACGTTTAACCTCACAACAGTACCATTTAGTCAAGGCTTAACTCTCAGCTAACCGATGACTGTTCCTGACAGCATGTGCATTTCTGAAATTGTTAATTCCATATCTATTTACCTATAATTTTTAGTTATTGATATACCAAAATACATCTACTCAGACATCGAAGGAGGAAAGTGAATGGAACTGTCACCCGAGGTGTGCGTGGTGGCGAAGGGGCCGCAGTCCCAAGCCCAGCTGTGTTTGCTCTTTTGCGGAGTTTAAAAGATTTTGTTTGTCTTCTTCACCCCACTCCCACCTTTCTTCATCTTTTTTTCACCTTTCTAATGTTCTTTTTTTCTCTCTCCCTGGAAGCAGTATGCATATGAAGTATGCTGAAAAGGAGCGATTTTTGGTCAAAAATGATTCCTCTTTTTTTTCCTCGAGTCTTAGAAACTAAGAGCTTTCCATGATAGTCAAAAAACACCACCACACACATACTTCAAATGACTTCATTATTCTTAGTTCCAGTTCTTTTCCTTCAATTCACTCATACAGAATAAGTCTATTCAGCTTCTTTTTGAATAAATAAATTAGTGTTATGGAAATGTGAGGTGAAAACTTTACCTAGTAAAATGTACTTAAGTGCTCTGCGGAACCAGGGATAGAAGAAGCCATATATTAAGGGATTACATGTGGAATTAAAATAGCCAAACCATGTCAAAGCATCAAACAACATGGCCGGAGTAGAGAAGTTCAAAAACGGATCCAACAAAATTGTGAAGAAACAGGGAAACCAACAGAGCAAGAAAACACCCATCACTATCCCTAAAGTTTTGGCTGCTTTTTTATCTTTCCTCATCTGATTGTTTTGGTTTTCTGATACGTTGTTGATCGCACGAGCATGTTTCTTGGATACTGCAAAAATTTGGCCATAAATCCCCACCATCACAGACCCAGGAGTGAAGAAACCCACCATGAACAAGGTGGTCCCCCATAACTTGTTGAACATTACTGGGCAGGAACTGGAACAAGCGACCAAGATGTCATAGCCCTCTATTCCATCAGCGTAGGCCTCCGAGAAGACCACTCCAAACGCAAACACTCCGGGGACTGTCCAGCAGAGAAGTAGCAACCGCTTAATGACTGGAATGGTCATTTTGGTGGAATACCGTAAAGGATAACAGATAGCATAAAATCTATCAATGGCCACAGAGCAAAGATGGAAAATGGACGTTATGCTAAGCATCAAGTCAAAACTATAATGAATCTTGCAAAATGTGAGCCCGAAATACCAGCAGTTCTCCACCGATCTGATCATACTGTAGGGCATGATGGTGAAGCCCAGGAGGAAATCCGTGACCGCCATGGAGAGGATGAGGAAGTTGGTCGGCGTGTGCAGCTGCTTGAAGTAGGAAATGGAAAATATCATGGTCAGGTTGCCGAAGACCGTGATGAATATGGCTCCTGCCATAAATGAGTACATGGCTGTGCGGACACTCAGCGGCCTTTGGTTTTCTGGGCAAGATCCATTTCCATATTCAGAGCAATTGAATGTTTCCTTCAGAAAAAGCAAGAACACATGGGATTTTTTTCAGATAATAGATAAAATTTCCTATGTTTTATATAGCTTTCCTAGGAAAATTCTAGAAAGACATAAAAGACTCAAGGAACATAATTTATTCTAAAATGTTTACTTATGATGCATTTATTTATTTATTATAATCTTTATTTGCAACTTTGTAGAATCCTAATGGGTTTAAATAAGATCATTGCTTAGTTTCCTTGAAGATTATACCACTAATATTTAGAAAGCTCTTACTTTATTATGCCAGGGCCTGAAATTTAAAAGGAAGAGAAGATGAAGAAGGAGGAGAAGGAGAAACAAGTTTATTCTTGAATTTATTATAATTGATCCTCCTTGTACACGTAGAAAAGCTAGATATCCACTGAAAAATACATTCACTTCTCCTTCAAATGAGTCAGAATACAAAATCAGATTTGATTTGATTGGGGCCTACAGCTTTGTGGGACCAGTAAGTTATTATTTGAAACTAGTCTTAGTTATGCATTCCACTATTTTCACTATGCTTCATTTTCGTATGCTGAAATTGTTTGAAAGAGGAAGAATCATGTAAGGATGTCTGATGATCCGGTGGAATCATCTTCTTCAGCCAATCCTGAAGCCTTGCGAAGCATCTCACCAGCCAGAACAGCTGAAACAGAGGTGGGCAAAGACCGAAGCTGAACTGTTTTTGCTTCTTTGTGAAGAGCAAGTGCACCTCCCCAGTGCCTCTTCTCCGAGCCTCAGGCAATGAGCACCAGGCAATAATAACAAGTCCCTCTGCGGGGGTTACACAGAGAGCTAGGGGCAGATGATTAGAAAGCTTTAGGAAAGCAAGCCATTTTCACTGCAATAAAAACAAGTGGTTCAGGCTGTCCTTGGATTGGCCCAGTATCTTCCTTTTGCATCTAAAAATCAGCATGTATAAAAAGCATTACTAAATACAAAGCATAACTGTTTTCTTAATTTTTTATTTATTGATCTGTGAGAGAGAAACATTGATTTGTTTTTTCACTTATTTATGTATTCATTGGGTGATTCTTGTGTGTGCTTTGACCAGGAATTGAACTCACAACCTTGGCATATTGAGATGACACTCGAACCAACTGAGCTACCCAGCCAGGGACAAAGCATAATTATTAATATGGCAGAAAGCCTTTAGCGATCAATGACTTCACACATATCAGACTGGACCAATTACTAACAGATAAAGCAATAAGTTCTCAGCCTCTGTGATGGAAGAGCACCATCACATGTAACTGTTTATTGAATGCCTACAATATACAAGACACAATGAAAGGAATGAGAAAGAATGAACTGGTCCATGGCTGCAGAAATTCTGCACAACAGCTGAAGAGACAAAGCACATCGACCTGTAAAAACGAAATAATCTTGTACCGCAGATAAAAAATAACAGTGGTGGTTAATTGACCAAAGAGAGGTCTAGGCAAAATGTGAAATCAAACACCAAAAATAGGCAAGGAAATTTCAGGCTGAGGTATACAAGAATATTCCCACTGAAGGTGGTACTTTTGACTTGCTTTCAAAGGGTAAATAAAGGGAATTTGAGCAGAAGAGAAAGAAGCCTATTCCAAGATGAAAGGTTGGGTGAAGAAAAGGCACCCAGATTTTTGGAGGCATTGGAAAGCCACTCTCAGGGTATCTGAAACACAGCAGAGAAAATAGGGGGCTGAAGAGACAATAGGGTGGGCAAGGAGAGAGTTTCCAGTTTTGTTGCTGAACCCCGAGACTGTGTTCTTGGCCACATATAGTCAAAGGAGCTTTCCACCTGGCTCTCAAATTTAAATAGTAATTTTAAAAAGAAAGAAAATAAAGCAATTAAGTTAGCTACAGGAGAATGAATGCAGATTTGAAATTAAAAGCTCTCTCCTGCTGATTTAAAGTGTTCAACTCTGGGCAATTTTATTTTTCTTCTCCTTTTTGCCCTGGAGTCACATCCCTACCTGGCCAGAACCAATGACCTAACTGCGATACAGGACATGTTTTAGCACTGGAAGTAAAGATGGAGAAGGAGGGATACAGGTGACACAGCTGCATTATGGGAGTGCTACCCAACTGCTGTTGGAATCTGCCAGCTAATGCCCTGACAGCTGTTTATAGAAACAACAGATTTATTTCTGAAAAATGTTTTGGCCAGAACATTTTTATCCAAAATTTTCTAAACATTTACAACTGATTCTCAACTGGTATTCATTCTTTGCAGAGAGCATAAGGATTTCTACTACGTGTATAGCATTTCTCTCCTTTTCCTCCTAGAATATCCCAGGAAGAAGAAGGTAGAAGAGAGTGAGAGGCAATGAATTTCCCCCATCTTGGTACCACATTTCTCTGCTGTTTGTCACTTCTTGTGAGCCACCTGCTGACCAGTAGAAAATTCACCACAGAGGACAATACTGGGAGAAAATGCAGTCTAATGAAAGAGAAGGGAAGGTTCAAATCACCTTCGGTTAATTCATTAAAGAGCATAGGGGAGCCAAAGAAAATTTTGTCAGTTTATTTCTAAGTCACTTTACTTCTTGAAAAGGAAAGCTAAGAGAAATAACAATTTCATTTTCATGAAAATGGCACACACAGTATCCTTGTGCTCAGGCAACCTCACAACAATGATACATTTTAAAATTTAATTCCAAACTGCTCCGTGTTCATGGCTTAGTGACTGATAGTATTAATCAGCCTACCATTCCACTTTTGGAAAGTCTTACCCAATCCTTTTAACTTTTAAAGTCATGGGGTGATTGCAATAAAGTTCTCTGGAACACATAGAATGATATATACATTAGTACTTGGGTTCCTCATATATTCGCCACAGTGCACACAGGAACACATTAGATGAATATTCGGTGAGTCCATCAAACAGTGCTTTTAAGTCACTCCCGTTCATCATTCTCCACCGTGCATTTGGCATGTTTCTCGCATCTGACATCCATTATCATTTTAACCCTTCAAATGGCTATATTGTTCTCACCTTTCAGATTGTTTGTGAAAGCTAAATGCATAAAACTGTTTTCAAGGTTACATCCTGTGTCTTTTTTCTATTTTTAAACTTGTTAATATAAATGCATAGATACATGGCCTGCAACAAAATTAAATGAGAAATCTAGTCTTTTCTCCATTACTGTTACGTTTCTACAAAAAGCACAAAAATGAAAAATGTGGGACATAATAAATTTCTTGTCCATTCAGTGTATTAATAAATACTGTATCTAAACTTTATTCTACTGAATTATTAAGATAAAAGTGTCTTTTGCATTTTTCCAAGGAAGCAATTAAATTACAGGACCATGACCATGATAATAAAAAATTTTCTGATTTTTCTAATATGATCTTATTTCTTTTAAACTTATCATTATATTTGGTAAGTGCTTTTATATTAAACATTCCTCTGCTTTAGCAACTGCTTTTAAACTTCTAAGGGACTTGACAAAGTCTTTCTTCCTGCTAATCATTCTTTCTATTTTCCTTGAATTCTTTTTCTCTTACTCAAGCTATTGATTTTTTCAGTTGCTCAATTTCTATTAAATATTAAATGTAAGCGAATCCCAACATATTAAATAATACATATGAACAGCCCTAGCAAAATGCCTGATACATAAAGAGCTCCATCAAAGGTAGCTCCCCTCTCATCCTTCTTCCTTCCTCCCTCCTTAGGCTGAACACCACAGTCAATAACACATTTGAACAGAAAAAGATTTCTCCTGAGAAAGTGAAGGTGTGGGATTGTAATGCAAAAAGCCCAGGCAGTTGCTTTAACTTCTGCATCACTTGGGTGAGCACCAGAGCTTACAGGGAAGAGTTAACCCTGCCGGGGTCTCTGAATCTTCTTTCCAGGAAATACGAGGCACTGGCCACTGGCAGGCTCACTGCCCAGAGGCAACACGCTCTCCGTGTTCAGATATTTAAAAGGCTCTCTCTTTTATTATAAGTTGTTCTTAAATCCTGCATATACAAGCTTCCACATTCCTACACATTCTCTCTGCACATAAACCAATTGCAAAAATAGAAGAATCAATACACCAGCCAATACAGATAAATTAGGGTGACCATTTCTTAAGAAAACCTCAAGGAAGAGAACACGCAGATCTGCCCTTGTTCATTCCTTCTCCACATACCTGCTGCACTGTAGAAGATTCCATTGTTAATTAGACTCCTTACTGAAGGAACTTTCTTTCTTTGTTTCTAACTCCTGTGCCTGCTTATATGGAACCAGACAACCTGAACTATGTGAATCATGCTATTCAGTAACTTTACAATTAGTCTCAAGGGAATTGGGTCTGAAAAGACTTTTTTAAAGAAAAAATTAACTCCGCCTTTCTAAAGTTTAATAGCCTAATGAGCCTAAACCACCCCATCCTCTCAGGACTCTCAGCTTAACAAAGTTTTCATCACCTGCAACCCTGAAGGCTCTAAGTCTGCTATTATATACCGACTGTAAAGCAGATCTGATCAACTGGCTACCGGTGGCTTTAAGGAACCTGATCTGGCCACACTGGGTGGGATCAGAGGTTCAGTGAGAAAAACGGATACGTGCCCTCCACCTCTTTGGAAAATCTGAGACTATCCCCATCCATATTTTGTCTCATAGTCTAGTCACTGAGAAGAGGCCTTACCACCCACTGGTTTTCTCCTTTTTCCTTTGTATAAATCCAACTAAAAGAATGAATCTAATCAATCCTCTTAGACCCAGAAGAGCGGGGCATAGTTATTATCTCTTGAAGGAACTCACATGATGATGCCAACACTTCTCAGATGCTATTGACTTAAATCTATTTGTGCATGTTAAAGACTCTACTTCTTTGTGTTCTTTGAAAATGTGTAAGTTTATTCTTCACTGATGGGATGGTCTTGGAAGGCAGCACACTTGAGATGCAGATAAACTGTACACTGGTCACGAGAGGACATCAGGGTCCAGCTGGAAT